ACCTTACAGCTGCAGAAATGCTGCTCCCAATTCCTGCGTCTCTTCCTGGCAGCTCCCAGGTGCTTGGAGGCACCATCTCCTGCCTCCTTGTCGCACACCCATCCATCACCCAGCACCGTGCAGCCCTGGAGCAGAGAGCGTAGCTGGGACAGCAGAGAAGGATCAGCCACTCTCCTGAGAGGGGAGAGCCTGACAGGGGCTGCCCTGAGCCATCGCTACCCTGAGCATCCTGCCCTCTGGCCTCAGACATCAAGGCCTGGGAACACACTGGTGTGTCTAACGCCCACACCTCTGGGTAAACGACCAGGGAAAGCAGAACGCAAAGGTTATTTAAAAATAAATAAATAAATAATGAAAAAATCCTAAAACTCTCTCATAGCAACCTCTGAGTCTGATTTGACAGACTTGAAAATCCCAGGTCCAAGCTCTCCAGCCTCGGGAATGCTGAGCTGCGCCCTGGATGCCCATCACGCCTTGCCAGAGGTGCCCAAGGAAGACCCTGCTGCCCACCTTCCCCTCGAGAGAGCCAGGAAGGAGGCTGGGCAGCTCTCTGGGGCAGAGTTGGGCCAAATAAAGCCCCTCACGGGTGGGAGCAGGCGGCCCAGCTCCAGCGGCGGGGGCCGCGCAGGCCTGGGGCGCAGCTGTCGTGCCGGGCAGTGCTGATAGAGCCCTGCTCTGCCTGCCCTTATTTAGTCAGGAGGCTCTGCTGACTCCAGCGATTTCAGGACGTCATTTGCACCACACACCCGCGTTCCCTGAGGAGACGCCGAGCGCTGCTCGGCCAGGCCGGCTGGAAACGCTGAGCCCAGGGAGACAGCGGCTGCACTGCCCGGAATGCGGCTGGGCAAGGGAGGCTCGGAAAGCGATACAGGAGCCCTCGAGCACTCGTGTTATTTGAGGGGAGGACTAACACATGCCTCAAAGACACGGGTACAGAGAGGGAAACAAGCAAGGCTTCAAACCCAGGCAACAGCTTGCACTCTGGGTGATGCCCGCGTGTTGCTGTGGCAGAAGCCGCACCAAGGTGATTCCTGATGCCAAGAGCTCCCAGCTCTGCACTGCTCAAACACAGCCCAGGCTCACTCATATTCATTTGTCCTCTCCAGGCACAAGACACTCAGGTGCACAGAGGTACCTGAAGGCAAAGAGGTGAAGCACACCAGCCATTCCTGCCTCTTACACCTTCCTTTCCTGTTGACCCTGTGGCATCTGGCAGACATACCTGAGGTGTTACTAACAGGACATACACCCATCAGACGATCTCAGAGCATGGCCAGACCCGTGCCTCGCAGGACACACAGCCAAGTTCCTCCATTGATTTTGGTCCAAGTCACTGGGAAGCACAAACCACTGCAGAGACTGACACTGCCACAGTGGGATGGAGGTGGGATTTACAGTATTTACACCCATTTTGTCCCCCAAAAGCACCAGTAGAGAAGAAAATCCCCTTAGTGAGCTGCCTGGCTATTGAGTGCACAGCTCAAAGGTTCACCCTGAAGCTGGTCCTGCCCTTTCTCTGGCTTTTTATTTTATATATGCTTCAGGGTGACTTTTATCCCAAGCGAGAGCAGCCCGGGGCAGGACTCCTCATACTTTAACTTCCGTCAGCTCCAACCCATTAGCTGACCCTCAGAGCTGCTGATAGACATGCTTGAGGTTTCTGCCCAATGTCTGAGCAGTGCCAAGAGGCTATGCCCAGGGTGAGGGGGCAGCTGCTGGGCTGGGCTGTTCAGGACAGCATGACCTCATGCCAACTGATTCTCACAAAAAGAATGAGTAAAAAAGGAATTAATAAATATTGCAGCTCTCTCAGATGGTGGCGAGGTGATGCCAGCTTTGTCCTCAGCCTCTTGCACAATGGGGAAAGCAGCTGGACTGGGGAGGGAGCCGAGGAGACCAGGGCAGGCAGTAGCTGGCACTGCCCACAGCGCTGGCCCAGCACCCAGGCAGGTGGGGCCAGAGCTGCAGAGCAGCCTGGTGCTCTGGACATCCACGGAGCAGAGAGAGGGGATGGAGGATGGTCTGCTGACCACAGCTGACCATCATCTGCCACTGTCCTGCCCATCTTCATGGGGCAGATCACAGGCAGGGCACCAGCACTGCCAGCAGCCTCCTGCTCCCCCACCCCCGG